AGCTAAAAAGATAAAAAGGCCAAAGAAAGATTAAAATGAATATTCTTAATGGTCGAATCTTTATATAACAAACTTAGAAATAGATGTAAGATTTAAGCATTGTTATTCATCTTTGAAGACCTCATATCTGCTTTAAATACAAAGAAAGCAAGTATCGACATGATCCTTTAAATATATTTCCAATTCAAAATGGTCATAAAATTTTTTACTCCCCGACAGCAACTGGGTTCAAATAATCATTGTAATTGGCTAATAGAACTAAAGTGAAAAAATAGATATCAAATTAAGTACAGTACATAAAAAGAAAAATATACACAATCACATATATCACTTTACAAAATTATACTCGCAAAAGAATTCATGGATATTCATTAAACATTATACGTATTTTGTGTACCTAATATTTCACCACTTTTTCACTAATTTCACCAGCATCTATAGATCTGAGGTCTGAGGATGAGATGACACCAGTTCTTTGCGAAAATAACTCCCTTAATTTTTTTGGATCTTTTATCTAATAAACTTGGTCTATAAAACTTAATTGATTGAAATTCAAGCATTGAACAGATTTTATATAATTAGAAATATCCATTAAAAGAGAAAATGTACATTCTAAAAATAATATTCTATATATACAAACTCAGCTCATTCTCCTATGGCGTCAAGATGCCGTCGGAGAACGAACCGAGTTTAAGATGTGCTAAAGCTAACGTTTTAATGAATTGTATTATTTTAGCTCAGTTTAACGATTCGAGCCCACTATTGAGAATCCTAATTCTTAGATTAAGTATTTCATGCAATGGTCACTTATTCAGAAAATGTACACATTTGGATAGTAAGACGAAATTTAAGGAAATCATAATCTTGAATACATATTAACTTGATTTAAAATCATAATCTTAAATACATATTAACTTGGTTTAATAGTTATGAGCAATAAACAAATTTAGTTAAAGTTATTATAATTATTTTAACTAATTAATAAAATAAATTTACAGTCTCGTAATATTAAAAAAAAAATAAAATAAATTTACAAACTTATTATCGATTAATTAACTTGATTAATATAAATTTACTAATTTCTCTACTCCTTTAGCTAATATTTTTGCACATTTAGTTTATTTACGTATCAAGCTTTTAACTGTATATTTATCACTATAAAACTTTTTATATAAAAAAAGAAGACAGTTTTCTTAAAACAAATGCCCACATTCGATCGATGCGATCCCATAGGACCGCAATATCATATGATCTTACATGTAATGTATAACGCATCCTAACATTACCCGTCTAGAATTAAGTTTATTATTGCTAAAGTCAATAGAAGTAGAGTTTTTGCTAAGTACAGCTGTTAAATTTATCCAGAGAAATCAAAATTGAGTTTTTACAGAGTATTGGTGCTTTTCTGTTTTCTGAACCAATTTTATTAGCATTAAATAGTTTTATTAAAATAATTTTTTAGTTATCATAAACATCTTTGAGTCTTTTCACCAAATATTAATCTAGGGAATAAAAAACTTAATACGATAGTAAGGTACAAAAATCTCTTCCTGAAAAGAATATCAAACACGTGAGTATGTCAATTAATACCACTGAGCAGATTTATTTATAAAATATTGATGTATATAGAATAGATATAATATCCTAGGGTCTAGGTTATATTGGAGTGTTTCAATATTGACATTTTTCATATCTGAATGTTGGTTTTATTAAATAAATAAAGCTCACTTATTTTATTTTATTTTTTAGATAAAATGTTTTCTTGTACTTCCCACCCTCAAAACCAAGTTGATTAAGGCTATAAACATTAAGTGGCTAGTTTTATTATTAAAAATATAAAATAAAAATAGTTTATGTACTTGGCAGAAAAGAGAAGCGATCGGTTAGTGTCTTGTCCATGTGATCCACGTGATGGTTGATCATAATGTAATTGGAACTGAATATATAAAATATTTGCCACTGAAAAAAATAGCCTTTCAGACAAAGGCTTATTTCCATTTAATGCAATCTCATTGATAAAAAGCGTGAATAGTATGGTACACTTATATTACTTTTACTGTGTAATAAATGGCTTCAATTATTCACATTAACGAATAATTAAAGTGATTTATTTATGTAAGAAAAATAATATAAACTATTTTTTTGAATATATCTTTTATTTGGTAGGGCGCTTTAGTAAAGTGGTTCTAATCTAAAATTTCGAGAAGAATTTTTTTTGTTAGAGCATGAGAGATGGTTTCATAGACAAAATTTCATGCTATAGTTGTGTTTACTCGATCAAAAATATATCATTGGGTAGTAATGAAAAAAAACGATTTAAATGCTTTTTTAAAAAATACATTTGTCAATAAATGTTTATGAAAAAATAATTTCTTTCAATCGATTATATACGGATTGTGTCTGGAGCCTTTTCCATTCAAATGATATCTTGAAGTTTTTATGTATCTGGGAGTCGTCTCAATAGAATGCGCGAATGCAACTTCGTAGCTCACGTCCTTTAAATAGGTTAAAAAGTAAACACACAGATTGGCTTTCACGACCTTAAAGAACTATTGTCGTTCGCATTCGCAGGTGTTCTTAAATGCAATATCGAAAGATTCCTAAACAGTTTCTGTGATCATTTTACGTGTTTCGTCGTTGAAAATCATATTCCCGTGAAAATATTTTAATTGATCAATATAATTTTCAGTTTTATCATCTTTCATCTTTCTGAATGTATCGTTGAAGAAATTTTTTGAATTGGCACTCGCAGTAATGGCTTTTTTCAGATATTTAAACATTAATTTTTTGATTTTCTTCTGTGTTAGCTTGATTTGATATTTCCTGATATCAACCTTCCTCTTTTGGACCTTGACATTCTTATGTTGATCAAGATGTTGCTTACGATAAAAATTTAAAGATTCTTTGTTGTAAATGGTAACAACGCCATCCTTTTCACAGACATTGAGAAAAATATTTTGTGAATTATATCTTTGAAGGATGGTTGTAAATTCTTGAATCTTATCCGTTTGGTATCTAAATGATAAATCATTGATCGGATCAATGGTGATGGTAACATCCGTCAAAAGCTCCATATGAGATACATGCTCATGATTCTTAACCAGGATGAATAAGATGTTGATGTTTTTATATTTCATATTTATCTTTAAATTCTTGTAGATGTCGTATTCAGAATTCAAAAAACTCTCGCTCGTGAGATTCAAAGAATATTGGATGCGGTTGTCCTTATTCGGTTGCGCATTAAACTCTTCAAAATTACCAGCATTCGGGTAAAGCTTTTTTACAAAATGATTGAATGCGAAGGCATAATCGATATTCATTGTCTGATTCGAGAATTTGGACTCCTTATCAACGTAAACTGAAAC